CCCCAAAACCCCAAAACCCCAAAACCCCATGGTATCCCGATTGGAGTGATTTAGTATATTATTAAATCAATTTACAAAGTTAGAATAATATAATAATGGAAAGCAATACGTAATCATAAACAATAGCTACCAAAGATTTCATTGAGCAATTAAAAGACTTTTTGAATGATACCTTGCTTGAATCATAATCGTAGGGGTTAATTCCTCCAATTCTAAATGCAAGCAAAGCTGGAACACCAAGAACTTCCAGAAAGAAATAAACTAACACTGGCTAGGTGATTGAAGCTAATTGGGAATTTGATGCAAAAGATCATAATTGTGAGAAATATGGAAATTTCAGTACTTCAACAATAATAAAATTGGTATCAAAATACAATAAGTCAACAATTTCAAGTAATAATCCAGGTAATGCTGAGAAGATTGCTGAAACTCTTGCAGTTGAGTTAAATAAAAGATTAGAGGATGAGAGCGAAATATAGACAGTTTTACATTAAGAGATTTCTAAGTTTTCTTCAAGCTCTGGGTTCCTTAATGTGTTCTTGGTAAATCAATAGTTTATGGACAGAGTTCATATTATGAGTAAAAAAAAGAATGTTACGTATAAGGAAGGTATATTTAGTCCTTAAAACATGAATGAATAACCATTGGAATCAGCATTTGTTGTAAGATATTAAGATGTATTTTATATTGATTTTAGATAAGACCAATCGGCTATCTTGAATCTTGCTTCAGAGAAAAATTTGGTACTCCTAGGCAAAGTGGATTTGTTAAGAATGCTAGAGCTAGATTGACTTTAGTGAATGAGATAAACTCAAGCTGTCTAGAGGGCCTAAATGAATATGGTTATATATGGGTAATCTTTATTTTCCACGTTGGACTACATGATTACAATAACAAGAAAACTAAAATAGTCCCACCCAAGTTGGAGGGAACTAAAAAGGGTGTATTCGCAACCAGATCCCCACATAGATATAACCCCATCGGGTTATCCAAAGCTAAACTTGATAGGATTGAGGATCGAACTATCTATCTCTCAGGTATAGATCTAATTCATGGAACTCCAGTGCTCGATATCAAGCCATATCATTACCTAGATAGTCTAGATTAAAGCGAGCTTTAATTCCCTGAGTGGCTTGTTGAGAGCAAGGAAAGAGGTAGACTCCAAGTAGAATTTTCACCTGAAAGTGCAGAAGAACTAAGAGTGCTGGTGAGTTCTAAAAAATTAGATTTCTATGATGATTATGAATAAGTTTAAGAACTTATCTCACAAGTGTTTGAACTAAATCCACATTCGTTGCATACTCTCAACAAACATGTAAGAAATATCAAATGCATTATAGTTTAATGAATTATAGAAAGAGGGAATTTATGCAGTTGCTCTTGATAATATGAACATTATATACAAAATGAATGAGGAGAAGACACAGATAACGATCATCAAAGTTATTTGGACTGATAATACCTAACCTAAGGAAAAACTAAGAACGAAGGAATGGCTTCTTAAGATAAGTGAAATCATTGATTTTGATTAGTAATAGAAAAATTTGAATTCCTCAGCAACCCATTAAAAATAAGTGGAGGAAGAAAAAAATTAGCAAAATTGAAGTAAGACAACTAATGATAAGTATGAGGAGTTTCATTAGGAATTAGAGTGATAATAAAGTTTTTAATTTCATAATTAGTATACAATAATCATAATTATTTTAATCATTGCTTGATAATATCCTCCAAGGCATTTATTACTGCATTGATAGCTACCTCTGAGTCAACTGATCTTTTGCCTTCATCAAAATGAATGTTCTTGGCTGATCTGTAGAATATCTCAAAAACAGATGCAATAATCTGCTCTTTCACCTCTGTGCACATATATGCTTCTAATTTCATTTGAGGGACAACTATATCAAGAAGCATATCCACCAGTTAGTTGAGATCTTTGTCCAAATTTTGCTAGTCTTTTTTGCTCCATTAATTTTAGTCCATTTGTTAAATTTTTGTAAGTCAACTCTAAAGTCCTTTTTTTAATATTTTTAATATTAATTTATAAAATTAACAGATAATCTATTTTAACATCTATCATACTAAACGGGGTTTTGGGGTTTTGGGG